ATGTGTCAGCTGTTCCAGTGGTGCAGATGTTCGATGTGTTTTTTGCAGACAAAGTCATCCACCCAGGTTGACCTTACTGGCAATTCAGTTTGCCTTTTCCTGCTTTTTTGCTCATGTGTTTCCCAAATACTTTATGAATTTGTGTGGGTTTTAGCGTGACACTGCACACATTCGTCTGACTAATTTGGGTGCAGGTGGTTAAAGTGATGATCTAAAGTAATATTTATGTGTTTGAGTAGCGTATGGATGTATGAGAGTTTTTGGGGGGTGTGGCCCATTGCAAATTTCCCCGATTTCTCATAGTGATACTGTGATAATACGCCTCCTCCACCCCCATCTGCCTTTCTGTTACCAGGCAAGGGGTAAAGGTTAGTGATGGTTAAGAAATACCACCCAGAAACGTGTTGTGTGTGTGTATGTAGGCGTGTGTGTGTCTGTGTCTGTGAGTGCGTGTAAAGCAGAGAGAGCGCAATTAAATGAGTGAACCAGGGAAAGTGTGTTTTCACTCTTGCTGTCACTTAAGCAGCATCTCACCTTTTACTTTCTGTGCTTTTGAACTAAATTGCACTTTTTCTCATGAATTTTTTCGAGACGTTTTTGCCAAATAGTTTGTTAATCATTGCTCCCCACCCCCCTAACATGGTGTCACAATTATGTACTTCGTTTCACTGTTCACAGTACAAATGAATGCAGATTCAGAATGATCAATTTCAGCCTCTGACGATTTTCACAGGTTCATTGTTTTTTTGGTTTATATTTTAACACATTAAAGATTTCCTGCTCATAGAGGACACTATGGAGAGGATTGTGCATTGTAGGACCTTAATAGGACCTTACTAAAAGGATTTTGTGTGAAGTTTAAACCGAAAGCTGACCTTTCTTAGTTGCATGCTGTACATTCATTATTTCTTTTTTTTTTTCTTTTTTGCGTAACATTTTTCCCCTTTTCAAATTCCTTGTAACACATTTCAGTTCAGCTGTTTTTTTCCTCAACAGCTCATCTGTAAGTAATTGACCTCCACCCAAAGATGATTTTCTTCAGAGTATGGACTCTTCAAATCCCGTCATCAAAGAAGAAATAACATTTAAAAAAGAAAGAAAAGAACAAAAACTTTTGTTTTTTTATCCTCTTTCTTTTTCAGATTGTGGCTAAGTGGTTTGAGCACAGTTAACCAGAGGTGCAAACAACACATCCTTTTAATTTCGCACTTCTTGAATCTTCAAACATTTTTTATTATGTTTAAAATGCATTAATAATGCTATTGTGAGATGATTTATTTAATTAATGAAATTAATTAATTAATTTCATTAATTAATTTAATTCCACTGGAAATGAATGGTGAAAATCATAAATAAATTAAAAATTCAACAAAATAGTTATCACTGTTTAGATACAATTGGTAATGTTTTTTTTAATTATTTTAATTTTACCAACTTGTTTTTTTCCTCTCACATCTACATGGTTTGTACTTTTCTCAAATGCATTTCTAGGTGCTCAGAGGTTTAAAAGAAAAAACACTTAAAAAAAAAAAAGAAGTTTTATTTCTGTAAAATAAAGTCCTGTTTAGATGCTTACACATGCACAAACTGTATTCCCCAGACTTCCTGCATGCACATAGCATCAGTTAAAAAGGCATGCAGAGGCCAAGCCTTTCCTCTTTTTTTTTTTTTTTCAATCATCTGCTGGTGTAATCTTATGAACCGTTACTCTAAAATAGCACCTTAGCTATAATGATTAAACAATTCTGGTTTGTTTTGAAGACTAGTACCAATACTGGATTACATAAAAGCAGTTAAAGAGCTTTTAAATGTAAGTTCCAGCTGCCACCAGTAGAGGCAGCTCACAGGTCTGGCCTAAATGTGCACAGCCTCCATCTTCAGAAGCAAACCTTTGCTGAGAAGTTGCATTGCTTTTTCATTTTAACTTATTGCATGTTTCTGTTTGCCAGTCAGTCAGCAGGTGTGGGGTGGAGTTGCTTCTCAGACCGGCAGTTAACGCTCTGTCTTAACCGTCCTCCTGATATTACGTGGAACTGAATGAGGACAACAGTGTGTGTGTGTGTGTGTGGGTACGTGCGTGTGTGTGTGTGTCTGTGTGAGGACAACAGTGATAGACAGGAAAAGGGCAATCACTGTCTGCCTTTCTCACGCAAAGACAAATGCAAAGTACAAATGGTAAAAAGCTCAAAAACGGTTTCTCAAAAATAAGTTCATGTTTAAAATTTCAAATCTAAACTAAAAGAATTGCAGTGTCATTTCTGCCTGTACGATGAACTGGACCAAAAAATAGTGACTGTTTTTATGTTAATTGACATATTAAACATAGTTTCTGTTTTATGGCCAATTAAAAGTTTGGTCATCTTCTGGCCTGCTCACTGCAAAAATATGTCTTGAAGCATGAATATCAGTCAGGAAGGAATTATGTCAGAGAAGTCAGAATAGTTATGACTTTAATGAAATTAAAATATGAACAGATAATATAATTTGAGTTGCTTTATATAAACTGCCCTGCACATTACAAAAATGTAATGATTTATTATATTAAAACTAGAGGTCAGTTCCTTACTCTAAGAAGAGATTATCATTAAAGCTCAGTGGTAGAAAATATGCGTGCATACTTTTTTTTCTAGACATTTCTGGTCTTCAGAAATATGTCTGAGGCTTGAAATGAGTCTGATCTGAGCTGCTGTATGCATGCATCCAACCACTACTTGGATACGTCTGTACTTGCATAAATCTATAAAAATTCAGAAACTTTTTAACATTTTAAAATATGCTAAAACAAATGCAATGGTGTCTTAAAAATTGTTGGAAAGAATATAAAATGTACTACGTATTAAGGCCTTAGTATTAAGTACAGCTAAAAGTAGTAATAAGGATGGTCATCTTGACGTGGTTTCCTGTTCGTTGCTCTTGTGTTACCATGATTATCTTTTCTTATCTTTGTGCCATTTTTAATTTTATGACATTGAGGTAGTTTAGATCAGTGGTCCCCAACCCCCGGGCCTCGGACCGGTACCGGTCCGTGACTCGTTTGGTACCGGGCCGCGAGAGTTGAGGCTCAGGTGTGAAATGTATAGTTTTCAGGGTTTTTATCGGTTTTCAGC